CCATGTTCGTCTTAAATCTTTCTCTTTGCCATTTTGATAGCTGCTAGCTAGGCACGATTGTTCTATGCATTGCTATGGTGACCAGTAGTCTGCACGCCAACCTTCAGGGTTAAATGTTGGTGAATTAGCAGGTATACGTTAACTCCAACCATTTATTGTTGAAACTGTTACAACAATCAGCAAAACTTTATTTCACCGCAAAGGAGGATTATTTTACTTTACTTTACCTAAAAATCTAATTCTGTTGTGGAGCCACAACAGGGTAGTAAAAGTGCCGCATGCGGCTCTGGAGCCACATGTTGCCGACCCCTGATTTAGGCCAAGCACTAATTGCAAAGCATGTTAATTATTCCAGTTATTCCCAAGTGCTTCCCAATCCTGGTCATGGTTTCCACATCCACTGCACAGTTTGGTGCTTTCCATGCTTTAACACTGCCTGTTTTGCATCAATCAGATCATGTTTGTTAGCTGATGAGTGAACTCATTAAAGAGTTGGCTTCCAACCCCTGCATGCACAACTACACCCGAAAATATGAACAAGGGAGCTGTTTGACTGAACTGAAAATATGTCAACGTTGATTGCAGTTGCATTTTTTGTAGAGGTACCAAAATCCATATGCTTACTCTACACTTTTTGATTAAAATGAAAAAGTGTGGGTAATTAAATTCATTCAACGATTTCTTGTTTTGAGTTTAACCTTTTTCTTTAAGCTGTAATTGCACCTTCAGCTCATATTGAACATTACCCACCATATTCTCATATCTAATGCCCCGTATGCATCCAACACGTAACCCTAATTTTAGATAGACTTTACTCTCTCTCTTATTTCAGGGATCATTCCTGCATATTGTAGTGTCAGCGTAGAAGTAGATGCAAGAAACATTGCGCTTGCAGGCAAATGCTCAGACAGCAAGGGAGAACTGGCAGCCCACGGTAGACACACAAACTCCCACTATCTCACCCACAGCCCAACATGACATAACAGGAATAACACATAAACACGTCTCCAACTAACAACAACAGTGCCTTCAGAGATCCTCTTTGCATCCTACAGCAGCGAGGTCTGTGGTGGCGCTGCAATATGATCCAAGAGCGTCTATTTAGTCCTTCTTTTGAGGTAGTTTTGGAGGATTTTACTTGAATAGCTGTAATTGTTCTGTCTGATGCAGCATAGTGGAGAATGGATTTGAGTCTTGGTTCCTCTCAGTGTTTTTCCCTCATGCTTTTAGGAGCTGTTTATACCTTGCATTATTGTGTTTTTTACTGTCCAGACAGTATCTGGACATAATCTGGCCTGATTCCATTTACACTTTACTAAATTGCACCCCTGGTTTGCACTCTCAGAGAAAAGGTACTAAACTGTCACTGGGGTAGTGCCCCTCTTGTCACTGGGGTGGTACCCTCAAGGGTACATCTCAGTACCTTTAGTCAGGGAACATAACTGTACCATAATCCATTGAAATGATATTTTCTTAGTTGTACTGACTCCACACACCCCGTCTTGTCTCCATGCTTTTTATTTTATTGTTCTGTGTTTAAAAATTGAAAAGGTACAAATACGAACTTTTCGCCTGGGAAAATGTATTTAAGGTTCATAATTGGACCTTCAAACCACTGTTGTACCTTTGAGGGAACATTTACATTGTTTTTACCTTGATGACCAAAAAGTACCTGTACAGAACCTTTATTTCCAACAGTGTGTGATTTCTGCACTGGTCAGCATCATTTCTGTCCAGAGGACTTTTTGGATATGAGAGAGAGAATGTTAGACCTACATAACTGCATGTGGGTGTAGAAAACACATTCCATTTACACTAGTGCAGAATGTGATCTGGCTCTGATCTGTCCAAATGTGGTTTGAGTGATCCATTGTGCTTACACCTGGCTTTTCATGAAGCCAAGTGAAATCCGAAGGTGATCTAATCACCGATTGTTTATCTCTTAGTCTCTCATAGGCTGCTTTCACACCTAGCTGGTTTGCTTGTTGCATCTTTTTCATTTGGTTCAGTTGGTTTCACATTGCAAAGGCTAAAGTGCACCAATTTACACATGTGGGTGATGTATATTGGTCAGAAATTTTGCAGGGATACAAATTCTGTTACTCTCACATTTGCCACCATAAAAATAAAAAAGAAAAAAGAAAACTTTTCTTAACATTTGATCTTAACACTTAACGTCTATGTGCATCACAGTAGTAAATTAAAACAATAGTAATAAACCTTACTTGATACCTGTTCCTTTATGATTGGTTTGCCAATTTAAATTTAACCAGTCAGGGCTGGGTTTCTCTAAAGTACCTTAGCTCAAAGATGATTCTTGAATTGGTAGAGCCAGCATCACTCTAAATGCTCTCTCTATCAGTTAACATGATCTGGTCACTAAGGGAGCTTTCACACCTATCTTGTTTGATCCGGACCTTCAGACTTTTCAATTTGGTCCGAACCAAAACAGCAGGTATGAAAGGTGCCTCGGACCATGGTCTGGACCTGGGGACCAAAATTTGGTCCAACCAAAATATCCAGATCAAACTGAACCACAGTTTGGCTCGTTTGCAGTGTAAAAACACTTTTTTTGGATAGCTCAGACTTTCGGACCAATTACTGAAAGTTGAGGCAGGTTATCATCAGCAGTTAAACAACAGAAGAAGAAAAAGAGAAGTGAAAATGAGCTGTGGTAGCACACAGGGAGAGGAGGAGATGAAATATTTAATTTAATTTGATTTGGTCCAACTGAAAAGTCAGAATTGACAACATACAGTCAGACGCTCCTCCACAAACCAATCAATGTCAAGTATAGGGACACACAGTATATGCAGCCCACGTCAGTGATGATGTCACAGAACGTATGTATGTCATGCAAAGTTCTTTACTTCGCTCACTAAATTGCAAAGTGAAACCTGAACTAACTGGATCAAAGGTGTATAACATAACAAAAACATGATCCTTAGTCCAGACTTTCAGGTGTGAAAACGCCCAAAGATGCTTATTGGGAAACTGGGCCCAGGTTGCTGATGCTTATTCCACTATCCATGTGCCAAAATCAAACTCATATCTTCTTTATTATTTTATTACTCGTCTGCCTTTATTAGCAGCAGCTCGTGCTACAAGAATGATAAAGCCATCCGTTGTTCATCAGATGAGGCAGATTATGCTGTCCACACAGCACTGACATGCTGCTAGAAGAAGAGGAAAGCACGCTCTGATGTTGAATTCCCTCGTTTGGTGCGGTCCATCATAAAAATGCGATCCCACCAGGATGGTTCGCTTGGAAGACCAAGACCTGAGATTTTTGCCACATTTCAGTTCAGGGTGGAAAGTTCACACCTATCAAAATGAACAGAACTAAAGTAAAAGTTTGACAGGTCTGCATCAAACAAGATAGATGTGAAAGCTCCTTTAAGTCTGGGTGACACCACACGACTTTTATCCTGATCTTAGCCCTGATTCTCAGTCTGACCGAGTCCGTGCTAGCTGGCCCTAGTCTGCAGATTTTGCGTCAGTCAGAATCGATAGTTGGAGAGAGAATCGAGTCGTGTTTGTGAAGGGCGCAGACTCAGATTTTTGGCCTCCCGATCGCGTTTCAGACCAGTCAGAGTTTATCGAACATGTTTGATTTTTTTGGACCCAACTCTGAGCGTAATCTAGTGTAAACTGGTCAACGGCTCAATCTGAATGGACCCCTGCAACAGTCACTGAGAAAGAAAGAAAAAAATATAACAAAGAAAAAAAGTAAACAAAGAAAAATGCCGAAAAGTCACTCAACAACAAAGCTTTTTGGAACAAAGCTTTTTAATGAGCTGAGTTTAAGGCATGAGCACAATCGGGTTTATGTAAAGTACTCTTGTGTATGTACTCTAAAAAATACCTCACTGATTACATTTTTAAATGACCCTCACTTAAACATGTTTAACCTACTGCTTCTTTAGGGTGTCAACGCAAACAGCAGAGGAAACAGCAGCAGTGAGGCGTACCACGTTTGTTTATTTGCGTCTCCAAGTAACGGGAGAACTCACGAGTTCTTGTGAGTTCAGTGAGCTCCATTCGGTTCAGCAACAGCAAGTTGAGCAGTGTGTGATCCCTAATCGTTTAGTGTGTGATCCCCAATATTTTAGTCACCCAAAAAAATCTGTAAAAGCCAGTCGGATAGTGTGAGATGCCCAGTCTTTTTATAATCTGTTAAGACTTTAAAAGTTGTGTAGTGAACCCAAGGCTTTAGAGAGTTTTTCCTGCCACTGTGTTCCTCATCAAAGCTCGTTAGGGGGCTGCACCTGCATCTTTGTAAAGCTGCTTTGGGAAAATGACTTTGCACATTAACATTATAATACAGCAGTACAAACTGAGTTGACTTGAAATGGATTGAACTGAACTGTATTGAACAGAATTGAAATACACTGCATTGACTTGAACTGAAGTATGCTGCGGTCATTGTATGGCCAAGTATGCCATTGGCAAACATTGTTGAGAACTGAAATGAAGCTCCACATCCTCAAAATAAATGCTCCTAAATGATTTTGCGTGGACGTTTGCTACTGTGGAGCTTCTCCAAACTTCAAAAAGGTTCCTCACCCTCACACATCTCAATCTTTAGGGAACCAAAAGTGGTTCTTCTGTGGCACCGATCCATAAAAGGAGCCCTTTTTGGCACCTTGCACAATCATAAAACCAGCATCTGAATCTGAATCAGTAATAAGAGTGGCCCCTCCATCCCCCACCACCAGACCATAGAGCAGCACGCGCCTCCAAACCACCCTTGGGGCTGAACGGGAGGCGGGGGTTGGGGAGTGCGGGGTAGAAGGGGGGTGTTTAATGGATTGAGGGGGGCGCCAACTGAAGTCTGCGAGTCTCCACGCGCGCTTTTGTTCACCGTCCTCCTCGCGACCTGGAGGGATTAGCGACGCCTTTCTCTCTCTCTCTCTCTCGCGCGCGCGCTCTCTCTCTCTCTCTCTCTCGCTCGCTCGCTCACTCTCTCCGCTCTCGCTCTCCAGATCGCGAGCGCGAACGGTTCTCCACTCTCGCGTGCCTGTGCCTCGGCAGCCGTGTCTTTTTTTTCATGCTGCTTACAGCTCGAGCTGCGAAGGAGATCCGGCACCGCTGCAGCTGAAACGGGAGGCAGCCTCGCGCACTTCGCGGACAAGGTGAGAGCAGCTTTCAGTGTCCTTCATCAATTCATCATCATCATCATCCTCCTCACAGCATTTCCCCCCATCCAGCGCTGCTTTAACGGAGCGCGAGAGGCGCGCGAGGACAGTCTCGAGATCTCCAGCAGGACAAAGCCTGCTGTAGCCAACCTGCACTGATTCAGCTTCAGAGTTCCGGCCGGGCTGTGTCAGTGACTTATGGGCTGTGAAGGTGGCAGATAAGAAGTGAATGATCTTGTGTTCCATGGTTTGTGGGTTTAACCCTTGGTTACCTGTTCCAGGTGGCATTTAGGAAGATATTTCAGTTTAAAAGTGCAGATGGAAGACCACCTCTTTCCTCTCCCAGTCTCTTCCTTTTTTTCTTTTCCTCCACTGTTCACTCAGTTTTGTCCACCTGCTGTTTCAGGGCTGGTAGCATTAATGTAATTTGTGTGTGTTGTAGGCTTATTTTTTTTTCTTTGGCTCATGATGTAGCTCTGCAACAGTGGATAAAATGCAAAAGGAATGTTGGGTGTTTTTTGAGACTGGGATTGCTTTTGTTTTGCTTTGCTTCAGTTAATCAAAGAGTTTGTTCTGGTAACAAACCAGTTAAAGGGTATTTCTACAGGTTCTGCAAAAGATCTGAATAATTTAGGTGCTAAGATGTAATCAGAGTCATTCAGAGTGGTTTGGTGTGAAATGGTTCATTATAGAGAAACTCTGAGTGCTGATAGGAACCAGGGGTCACTATGTCTACAACACAAATATAGCCATTTTATTTACTATCAAAACAACAAGTGAACCTACATGTCATCTGTTTTATTTCTACACTCTTAAAAAGGGTTCTTCAAAGGTTCTTTAGTAAAGACATTGGTTCCATATTGAACCAGGGATCTTTGCATGGTGAAATCGTTCTTCAGATTGATGGAGAATGTGTTGTACATAGCACCAGAAGGGGTTCTGCTATAGTTATTGATGTGAAGCTTGTAACAATAGCAGAAGCCTTTTTGGTGCTATATGGAACCATTTTCAAAAATAAACATATACAACACATTCTCCATCAATCTGAAGAACCGTTTCACCATACAAAGAAACCTTTAATCATGCAAATGGTTCTTTGAGTGTTCATGGTTCTATATAAAGCCACTGTCTTTACTAAAGAACCTTTCAAGAACCAACTTTTTAATGAGTGTAATGAAAAAGGGTTCTTTGACTTGAAACAATGGTGGAACCCTTCTAGAACATATCTAGAACCATTTTAAAAAGGTTCTTTAATGAACCATGCAAAGAACCATCTATGGATTCAAAAGTTTCTTTTTTTTTTTGTTATCAATGTCAAGCTTGTCAAGCTTGTAACAATAGCAGGACCCTTTTTGGTGCTGTATAGAACCATTGTCATAAAGGTTCTAAATAGAACCATCTACAACACATTCTCCATCAATCCGAAGAAACTTTTCACCTTGCAAGGAACCATGGTTCTTTAAGTTTTCATGGTTCTATATAGAACCATTGTCTTTACTAAAGAACCCTTGAAGAACCAGATTTTTTAAGAGTGTAGAAATAAAACATCAGATGACTTGGAGATTCACTTGTTATTTTGGATAGTAAATAAAATGGCTGTATTTTATTTACTATCCATTTATATCCATCATATTTACATTGTATTAATTGGCCCATCATTACCACTGTAAAGAAATCTTTAAGCATGGTTCTTTGAATGTTCATGGTTCTATAGAGATGGTACACATAGAGCCATTGTCTTCATGTTTTAAGGGTGCAATATGGATATGGATGATGTAATGGTGGTAAAAATAAATGTAGAAAAACAAAGTTTTATTTGTGGACTAGTTTGCCTTACAATGTCATACGTGTAGCTCTCCGCCATAAATGGATTTGGGAAAAATGTTTACTATATCACAAAAATATTGTGCGTACCACACTTTCTCTGGTAGCTTTCAGAAGCGCTAAACATTTCAGACTAGGTTTCTCTATTTCACATCAAACCCTTCTAAATGACTTTAGATCTTAATAGCTTAACTATGCTAAAATTTTGAAAAAAATAGGTGGAACTCCCCTTTAAATGGCTTCTCACCACATAAACATTTTTGAGTATTTTGAACACCAAATATTTTACAGTGTGGTCCCCTATTATCTCCGCTATTCTGCTATACAGTAACTGCTCAGTCTTACTGTAAAAGATGTACTTCTCTGGCTTGTTTAAGCTGCCGCTTGTGATTCTGGATGGAGAGGAAGGTTTCTGGAAGTGGATTCTTGCCCCTTGTCAGAAGCAGGACCCCCACGTAGCTGTCTGTGTGCACTGTATCCTATTTGCAAAGGTTTTGTGAGATGCTGGGTTGTGTTTAGTTTGATGAACAGTGAGGGCTGTCAATCTTGAAGCTGTCGCCGCGACGACAGTGAGACGGAGTAGACGGAGCTGATCTGTGCTGCCACTCTGTCCAGGCTTTCTGTGGCTTTCGTCTCCGTCGGAGAGTCTGGAGAGCTGATGAAAGAAAGAGAAAGACTGCCCTCGGCCCATCCGTCTCCTGGGAGGCTGATGTACCATTGACTTCTCTTTTGTAGCAACTGTCGCTATGTCGGACAAGCCTTCCAACACATTAGCACAAGTTTCTTTTAAGCTGATGAGAAATTGTGTTATGTTTTTGTCAAAGTGCCTAAATTTCATGTGTTTCATTTTACATGAAGTTTATTTTGTACATCTGTGTTAGAATAGGTCGACGATTGATTAGCATGGTGCCAAATTCTTTGTCGTTGCTGATCTGCCTTGTTTATATTAGCTACAACAGCGTACTTTAGAGAATCATTTTAAACTAGAAGCTCAATTTTGAAATCTGAACTTCGTCTATTAGATCAAATGTGGAAGAAACCACAATGCATTAGCTTCTATGTTAGTGCTACCTTGATTAGCCTTCACAACAAAAAAACTACAACTGTTTAGGGCTGTCATTAGGCCTGAAATTTGGTCTAAATCCAAATACAGCCTGAGAACTTTCTGTCTGAACCACAGCACCCAGTTTTGAGTTGGCCAGTTTGGGTCAGTTTTGGGCAGAATTTTGTTGCACTTAGGTCAGTTTTAGTCTCTATGCTAGCGCTAGCTTGATTAGCCTACACAACAAAAAGCTACAACCGTTTAGAGCTGTAATTAGGCCAGAAATTTTGGTCTAAATCTTTGCCTGAACCACAGCACCCTGTTTTGAGTCTGAAATTGACCTGAGCGAAACAAAGTTCTGCCCAAAAATGACCCGAACTGGCCCATCATAACCCAAAGTGCTGAATAATATGCTTACGTTACCTAAATTATAGCAGCAATAAAAACCAACATTATCACAGGTACATACAATAAAAAGTACACAAACACACACACACTTTCTAAGTTGCTTGGGGGGGAGCTGGAGTCTATCCCAGCAGTCACAATAAAAAGTAATGCAAAATAATATGATACAATAAAATAAGCATCAGTTTAATTTTAAATTGAATTAATTTATTCATCAAGAAGCTTTCAAACAACATCCTAAACTTTTTTAGTCTGAAGAAACTTTAAACTTTTATTTCCATTTACTCACAACATCCAAAACTACATCTTATAAAGTCTTTTTACAGTAACTTATGATTAACGATGATTTGAGAACAGACGTCCGGTCCCAACATGAGCAGTCGGGTCATGTAGAGTTCTGATATTTACAGTGGGACCTTTTACATGCATTATACAAAATAAATATCATTTAAACAATCATTTAAACATAAATTGTGCATTTTGTAAAAGTTGTGAGTTGTGTGCTACACTCATTATTTTGAATGGGATCTTGAGCTTGTCCAGCCTGGGAACAGTTGCTGTGAAAGTTTGGTTCTGTGGGTGGAGCATGGAGAGGTGGATAGACTCGTCGTGTGGTGCTCTGTGAGTGTGTGTGTGTGTGTGTGTGTGTGTGTGTGTGTGTGTGTTCTGGAGCTGTTTGTCATAGAGCTGCTGGAATAGAGAATGGCACAGCATTGTGTTTAGAGCAGCCCTGGGGAAATTTCAAGCAGCTGTTCGCAGCAAATTGGTTGCTGGTTCTTTCACTGCCTCTCATGTCTTCTTTCTCTTCTTCTGTCTTTCTGTCTTTCTGTGCCTCTGACAATACAGCCCCCACCACCAATCACCCCCCTCCCCATTTTTATATCAGCTATATCACACACACACAGACACACACACATTCACACTCATCCGCTCCGTCTCCCTCACCGCTCTCAACTGAGTTACTCCTGCTCCAATTCCACCTCTCTCTCTCCCTCTCTCTCTCCCTCTCTCTCTGTCCTTTTCTTACTGTTTTCTCTTTCCCGCTCTTTTCTCTTTCTCTTTTTTGTTTTCTCTTTCTCTTCTTTCTATTTCCTGTCTTTTTTCCTTTTCTCTTTCACTCTTTGTCTCCCTTTCTTTTTACTTACTCTGACTTCTGTTTCACTCCTTGTCTCTGTCTCCCTTTCTTTTCCCTTTCTTTGTCTCTGCTCTTTTTCTGTTTTCTGTCTCTTTCTCTTTTTTGGTTATCTCCTTCTCTCTTTCTTCTGTCTTCTTTCTCTTTGTTTTCTCTCTCTCTTGCTTCATTTCTCTCTCCCTCTCGACGTTTTGTCTTTTTTGGGTTTGCTCCTTTTTTTCTCTACTCTTTATTTGTTATTTATTTCTTTCTTTCTTTCTTTCTTTCTTTCTTTCTTTCTTTCTTTCTTTCCTTTTAACTGTCCTATTCATTTCTCTCTCTCTCTCTCTCTCTCTCTCTCTCTCTCTCTCTCTCTCTCTCTCTGTCTTTCTTTTTCTGTCTTTTCTCTTTCTCTTTGTTTTCTCTCTTCTTTCTATTTCCTTCCTATTTCTTTGTCTCCCTTTCTTTTTTCTTTCTCTGTCTCTTTCCCTTTCTTTTCTCTTTCACTCTTTGTATCTGTCTCTTTTTTGTCTTCTGTCTCTTTGTCTTTGTTTCTCTCTCTTACTCCATTTCTCTCTCCCTCTCTGTCTTTTTCTCTCTCCTTCTCTCTGATTC